ATAGACAACTCTCTGGAGCTACACTGCCAAACATCAGACGCCCGAAGGAAAATGGATGGCACCCGCCAAGCCAAGGTCGGATTAAACTAAACGTTGACGGAGCATTTTCTGCTGTTAACCGCGCATGTGCTTGCGGGGGTCTGTCAAGTGATAAAGCTGGGAACTTCATGCAAGGTTTTATCTACGCCCTTGATGATGGTGATGCGTTACGTGCTGAGCTTTGTGCATGTCTCCGTGGTCTGAAGCTTGCCTGGGACGGTGGATACCTTAGAGTTATACTGGAGTCTGACGCAAGCACTGCTATTGAGCTGATCAAGGGTGAGCCGGATGAGCTACAAGCTGATTACTATGTTCTCCATGCAATCCAGCTGCTTCTAGAGAGTGACTGGGAATTTCGAGTAACTCATGTGCACTGGGAGGCAAACAAAGCAGCAGACTTCCTCGCAAAGAAGGGCCTTGCAGCAGGAACAGGTCTTCATGGCATTGTATCAGCTGCTGAGGAGCTTGCTAGTATTCTGGAGGTAGATCGCAATTCTAGAAATAGCGGTCACGTAGACATTGCGTAAGGTGTTCTCTTCTATTATAAAAGGGGGAAAAAAATGTAGACATTGCTTGTCTTTACTTGAGGATCCCACTTAACTTTAACGCTACTTTCTTAAAAAATTTAGTTAACCATTTTTTGGGTATAAATACGATTACCTCCGGTCCTTATTATAAGACCCCCTTTAATTTTTTATTTGGTCCTAATTATAAGACCCCAATCCATTTTGTCTCTTATATTTATGCATTTTTTTTCAAGATAATCCTTCTAATAATTATAGTTTTAGTCAATATACTTAATTAGCAAGGATATTTTAGGAATGACAGCACTTATTTATTATAAATAACCAACTTAACTTACTTCCTTAATCTCCTCAAATAAGTCAATTGGGTCTTATAATTAGGACCGGAGGAGTATATATATACACACACACGCGCCCCTGTGTTAGTTGAAAATTCAATTTAGTAATAAATGTAATATTTTAATTTATTTTATTTCAAATATTTATTCATTTTGCTATCAAGTACTCCCTCCGTTCCTTATTATAAGAGACATTTGATCCTTATGGCACGTTCCCATATATAAGAGACACTTAAAAGTTGTCTCTATTTTTTTGTATTGATTTCCTATTTTATCCCTATTTATTTTATCTCCAACTCATACTCTCCCTCTCTCCCACTTCTCTTTCTTTTAATAATTTAATTGTTCTATCTCATACTCTCTCTCCTTATTAATGGGGGTATTGTTGGAAAAAATATTATACTTTTTACACATTAATTGTCGTCAACTAATTTTAACTGTTTTTTTGATCAACGTAATTTAGTTATTTGTCTCTTATAATAAGAAACGGAGGGAGTAACTCCTATGGTAATTGTTTGACAAAAAGGATCTTTATGACATTTCCACGTGTTAACGAGTAATTCAAATGCACATCATTAATAAAGATATTTTTTTTTAAAAAATCTGTTTATTACAAATGAATCAAACTAAATAAATTATTTAACTAATTTTTTTAATATTCACAAATTAGTTACCTAGTTTTTATATTCAAGATATGAGGTAGTATATATATTATTTGTTCATATAATTAATAATTATCATACATATTACATAGGGGTGTTTAGAACATACTATAATCTATTAAATTTTTGTTTTGTTTTTACGTTTCACCATACAAAACTTTTTTCATATAATTATCTTACATAGCATGAAATTTGAGGTAGTATATATATTATTTCTTCGTATAATTAATAATTATTATATATATATATATATATATATATTACATAGCGGTGTTTGAAAAATCCTATAATCAGTTTTTTTTTTTTTTACGTTTCACTATACAAATTTTTTTTCGTATAATTATCTTACATAGCATAAAATTACTTCAGATAAACTAATTTACATACAAAATAGATTAAAGAATAGATAAATTAATGAATAAAAAAAATTCTAAAAAGGAACTTATATATTATCTAAAAAGTTGTGAATGACCTCAGAAAATATGGAAAATTATAATCAGGTTTTAACAAAAAAATTTAATTACCTTAAAGTTTATTGACAAATAAAGAGTAAGTAATGATAAATTTCAAAATAAGAAATGACAATAAATTTAGGTTGGTTACTTGTCATTTAATAATTAAATTTTTTTTAAACCTCTCAATATTTCTTTTTAAATACTACCTCCAGTTTTAATTATAGGGCTTTTTTTTCCTGTAAATTATAGGTATCCTCCTATTGGAAGCAATGATATTCGAAACACTGTTAGGTACTAAATGTGAGTACTTCTCTTAAGAGAAATTCAAACCTTAGTTTATAATGTTGTGAGGGATTAGCTTCTTTTGCTATATCTAATTTTTTTGGTTTCATATGATCTTATTTATAAAGTAAAAAAAGCTTTATAATATTGTGTGCGTCTTACCGTGCCCAGTAAAAGTTAATAAACTAAAAAACAAATTAACAAAGCAAGAGAAATTGTATACTCTAAAAAGCAAAAAGGTAGAATTGAAAAAGGGAGATGAAAAGACGAGCACGAGAGAGAGAGAGAGAGAGGTTGTTCCGAAGTTGGACCACGTAGGAAAAGAGAACACCTAGGCCTATACTTTCTCAAATTTACATGTAGGCCCATCCAAATATACTATTTCCTACGTACGCCCCACGGGCTCTTCTTTTGCGGGTGGGTGTGGGTGCCTCTCAAACGGCTAATCACGCACCTTTACCCTCACACTTCCCGTCCCAATTTATCGCGCCCTTTTATTCTCGTTTCGTGATATTTACGATTTCCCACCGTGGACATCCCATCTTGAAATAACGTATTTTATATTTATTATCTATTTCTTTGTTATTTATCTGCATTTCTTTTTTCTCAAAAAACCGCTTTACATGGCTTTTTATCATAACAATGTTCTCTAATTTATTCTAAATACAAAACTTTAATTCTTATTTTCTTTATCTGCCATCAGTCTACAAAATTTATTATTTTTATATTCTACTCCTGTGTTTAAAATATAAAAATTAGTTAAGAAATTTATTTTAATTCCAAATATAGGACAGTTGATTTTGCTTCACAAATTTAAATTTAGTTTCCCAAACAACAATATTGATGGCATATAATGAGGTTGGTTTTAATCAATGAAAACAAGTTTCTAATGCAAATGAATAAGGTATTTGAAAAAGAAATCAACACATATTTATTATAAATAAATAACTAATTTTTTAATTTTTATAAATTAGTTATCTTTTTTTTTTTTGAAAGAAGACCCTACACATCGACACTTCACACATCCACTTAGGTATGGGGTGCTATTAAATCAAGTGGTTCTTGGCTTATAAATTAGTTATCTACCACTTAATAACTAATTTACATACATTAAAAATTAGTTAAATTAATCATTTATAATAAATATGTCTTTGATTTTTCTTAAATAACCTGTTTAATCACTTGTATTAGAATCATTTCTTTCTAAAAACTCTATTGACATGTGCGCCTAATTGGCATATTTGAAAATAAATTATAAATCTTAGAAACAAATTGGATGAAGCTCTTATATTTATAATCAACGTAAATTTTCTAACTAGTTCTTACATTTTCAAATGAGAGGAAGCATATATTTAAATGTTATGGCTGGTCTAAAAAAATGTTATCCTGTCTAGTAATTGTTTAAAAATAGTAAACATGTACAAAAGTAATTAATTAAACCCAGCCTCACAGACATAAAAGGATGTTGTGGTGTGAGTTTGTACTAATTTTGGCAATATGATGAAATAGTTGGGTTGGGGAATTTTAATTATTTATTCTCAATCAGGTTGAGATTTATTTAATAAACTGATAATTAGGGCCAGATGTGGAGAATGGTGATTAAAAAATGGAGAGCAAAAAGAGGACATAATTATGATTATGTCTCCCTAACGGTTCAGAAGCAAAAGCTTACAATCATCACTGTTCACTTTGGGGCAATAATCTCCACGGATCAGACCGACAGACACAAGTTTAATTAATTAATTTTCATTCCAAAATGATAATAAATATGTTGGAAAAAACGATGATAAATAGTTGAAACAATTTTCACCATCTTATATTAGATATTTTGATTTAAAAAATAAAATATTTGGTTGACACGTATGTTCTCAAAATAAAAAAACAATGAATCCAGATCACACATATTAGGAAAAATATTTTAGTTTACTTCTTTAATTTTATAAAGTATTTTTTTCATTTTTCTAATATTAATACCGTTAATCTAACACGACGATTTTTTTGTACTGATCATTGTTTTTTTAATTATTCAATACATTAGTACTTGTAAATATTTTCTCAATATTTAAAATTTAAATATAGATTTTTTTCAAATTCATGTAAAGATATTAGAATTAGATCCCGTAGAAGAAGCTTTATGAAGTTAAAGAAAAAGAATTTTGTATGAAATTAAATAACTAAAAATGCACTTTTATCAATATATTATTAATAATACTTTCTTTCCAGGTGCAAATTTCACAACAAATCGATCATTTGTTGTATAGTTATTGTTTATTGTTTATTGCAAATTTCACAACAAAGATTATTTGCCGCGAAAGTATATCGAATAATAAAATGTTCACCACAACTTGCAAGAGGAATATTATATTCTATAGTTATTGTTTATTGTTTATTGCTTATTCTTTTGGTTAGAGAAAAGAGAAGAAGCGTCTTTCCCTTATCACGAGCCTGCCTGTACTGAGCCTTCTTCTTCTCTGGACTATGGACCACTCCCAAATTATCGCGAGTTTTCCAGTCAGATACTTGAGTACGGGTCTCAGTTTATCGTCGCCCTCACGCTCACCAACCCTTTTTGCCCCTTTCATTTGTCTACTATGATGAAAATAAATGTATTCACTCGAGGACTCGTCTCGGTAAGCTTAACTTTTTCCCCATTCAACACTTTTATTTCTTCCCCGTCCCGTCTTGTTACGCTTTCATTATCCCTTTCTCTCACTTCTTCTAACTCCTTTTGCTTTCACTTAGTTTTCTGCTGCGGAAATAAAGGGGAATCTCCACTGTTCTTCCATCTTCGTCTTCCTTCAGTATTCTGGATTAGCTCCTCCAACGGTCACTTAACTGGAGATGCTTCCTTTGGTCTCATTGTTTCTTCTCCTTCTCTGTAATCGTTTTTCGACTGTGACTTCTCTAAATGCCGAAGGCTCTGTGCTTTTGGCTCTTAAGCAGTCCATCACTGACCCAGAAGGGTCTATGAGTAACTGGAATTCTTCTGATGAAAACCCCTGTTCGTGGAATGGGGTTATATGCAAGGAACGGAGTGTCATTTCTCTCAGCATTCCAAAGGGGAAGCTTTACGGCTCGCTTCCTTCTTCTCTGGGGTCTCTTTCTCAGCTTCGCCATGTGAATTTCAGGAACAATAAGCTCTTTGGGAAGTTGCCTCCTGAGCTATTCGCAGCACAGGGACTGCAAAGTTTAGTCCTTTACGGCAATTCCTTTTCTGGGCCTGTTCCACAAGAGATTGGGAAGCTCAGGTACCTTCAAACCTTAGATTTATCACAAAATTTCTTCAATGGGTCTTTACCTGCTACAATTGTCCAATGCAAGAGACTCAGGTCCCTTGTTCTGAATTACAACAATTTCACCGGTTCTCTTCCGGATCGATTTGGTACTGATTTGTTCTCTCTGGAAAAGCTTGACCTTGCTTTCAATCACTTCAACGGCTCAATTCCTAGTGATATGGGGAATCTATCTCGTCTACAAGGAACTGTAGATTTATCTCATAATAGTTTTTCTGGCTCAATCCCACCCAGCCTTGGTAATTTGCCTGAGAAGGTCTATATTGATCTTACTTTCAACAATTTGAGTGGTCCGATACCACAAAATGGTGCTTTGATGAACAGAGGACCAACAGCTTTTATAGGCAACTCTGGTCTCTGCGGACCTCCGTTGAAGAACCCTTGTTCTTCAGAAACTCCTGGTGCTAGCTCGCCTTCCTCGTTCCCATTTCTGCCAGATAACTACCCACCTGGGTCTTCTGGTAATCCTTATATGAGGAATGAGAAAACCAAAGGGTGGAGTAAGGGTGCTATTGTAGGCATTGTTGTGGGTGATATAGTTGGAATTTGCCTCTTGGGTCTGTTGTTCTCTTACTGCTACTCAAGGGTCTGTGGGTTTAATCTGGATAATGAAGATGAAGCTGGTTTTGAGAAGGGAGAGAAAGGAAGGAGGAAAGAGTGTTTTTGCTTCAGAAAGGATGAATCTGAGACCTTATCAGAGAATGTTGAGCAATATGATCTTGTCCCGTTAGATGGTCAAGTGGCATTTGATTTGGATGAGCTTCTCAAGGCTTCAGCTTTTGTTTTGGGGAAGAGTGGAATAGGCATTGTCTACAAGGTAGTGCTCGAAGATGGGCTTACCTTAGCTGTGAGAAGATTAGGCGAAGGTGGTTCTCAAAGGTTTAAAGAATTCCAGACAGAAGTGGAAGCAATAGGAAGATTGAGGCATCCTAACATTGTTACTCTTAGAGCTTATTATTGGTCTGTTGATGAGAAACTTCTCATCTATGATTATATACCCAATGGAAATCTTGCTACAGCAATTCACGGTAAGTTGATAGATTCCTTCCTCTTTTCTATTTTAAATCCTGGTGCTCTTTGTTTATGTCAAATACCAGGCGAGTTCAAAAGCTTGAACTGCGACCAGTTGCATTCATGAATAATTATACTATCTAACAATTTGATTCTTTGGTTTGATTCAATGTCATCAGGGAAGGCTGGAATAGTTGCATTCACGCCACTTTCTTGGTCATTTCGGCTGAAAATCATGAAAGGAATTGCAAAAGGATTGGTCTACCTGCATGAGTTTAGCCCCAAAAAATATGTCCACGGAGACCTGAAACCAAGTAACATACTGCTTGGGCATAACATGGAACCCCACATTTCTGATTTTGGACTTGGAAGACTTGCAAATATTGCTGGAGGGTCTCCAACTCTGCAATCCAATCGTGTCGCTGCTGAGAAACCCAATGAAAGGCAGAAGAGCTTCTCTGCATCAGAAGTCTCAGCTAATGTTTTGGGAACTGGCTATCAGGCTCCAGAAGCATTGAAGGTGGTGAAGCCATCACAGAAATGGGATGTTTACTCATATGGTGTGATTTTGATAGAGATGATCACAGGAAGGTTGCCCATTGTCCATGTGGGAAACTCAGAAATGGATCTTGTCCAATGGATTCAGTTCTGCATTGAGGATAAGAAGCCACTCTCAGATGTAATAGACCCATATCTCCCTGAAGATGCAGATAAGGAAGAGGAGATTATTGCAGTTTTGAAGATTGCAATGGCTTGTGTCCATAGCAGCCCCGAGAAGAGACCGACAATGAGGCATGTTCTTGATGCTTTGGATAGGTTGTCCGCTTCTTCTGATTGAGAAATTCTAGGAATAATAATCTGTGAATGAATTGTGAATACAGTTCATTTGTGCAGCTTTATGTTTGGTCATGCTTAATGGTTTCAAGCTTGTTACTTAGTTTTGTCAGAGTTTCACCATAGCTCCTTGTAATTGAAGTGCTGAGAGAATGATGAAGCATTTTGTTTGAGGCAATGCAACCTGATGAGTCTCATTGTTATTTACCATTACAAAGGAACTGCATTGCATGTTGAGAAGTTGGTATTTACACAACATTCACTGAGATAGCTATAAGAAGCCTATAAAAACTCAAAAAATAATTGTATCAGCTGATCTCACATGATAAAAATAAACTTATGAGTTTTTATAAACTTCTTATGCTTGTTCATCCTATCTATGTGTGAGATGTGCATCTAATTGTTTATGTTGGTGTGCCATGTGTAGAGCATACTGAGAGCATTTTTCTACCTTCTTGTTTGGTTACGTGTATTTTATTTAATGAAGGAAAATAAAATCACAGAAGAGAATGTCTTGGCGTTGCTTTATTTTAGCCTTGGAGCGCAATATGTTTGCTTTATATTATTCTTGCATTTTTTTTTTTCTGGGTAAAGAGAAGAGAACCATTACTTTAGTGGTGCTTGGACATGCCTTAGCTTCTGAACCTTTGTGAACCAAAATTAAAAGAGAGAGATGATTCTGATAAATCATTACTATACAGATAAAGGAATGAGTGTTTTCCAAAGTGGTCAAATAAATTTAAGATTGAATTCTCAATCTGTGATCTTAATAATCGGGTAATTGTGTATAACTGTTGATTCTTGACTGTATACTTTTTTGATAGTTCTTGACTGTATACTTTTCCTCCTTTGAACTATTAAAAGCATTTATTATCGACAAAGAATAATGTATTCCACGCAGGCCATTCTTGTCTTTTGGCTTTCGCCCTTCTTTATTAGCATTAACCTTTATATCAGTTATACTATTTGAGAATTTTCAAAAGAAAAAGGAAAGAAAAATCCAAATTTTCCGACCTTTTCCTGACCGCCAAACACTGATGAGTGAGGAGGATAGCTTAATTAAAGACTTTACAGACAACAAGAGGAGACCCCACATTCTATTAATTTAAAGAAGTGGTTGGACTTTGGGACAGCCAAGTCATGTGGCGCAAATTTAGGAGAAATGGACTCCAACAACAACCTAAGCTAGAATTCCTGGCTGTCATTAGCTATGATCTATGAACTTGTAGTTCTACCACGTTCAGCTTTCTTATCCATGTCACGTTGCTTCAATGTTCAAAAACAACATGTTCTTAATAGTGGGACACAGTTGTTTCGTTCTTTTTTAGAAACTGTCTCTGTTTTCCATCTCATCAAAACCTAAGATATAAATAATAACATATCTCTTTTCAGGCCCTCTCGTCCTTCTGCTTCCAAGTAAATAAGAGCTTGAGCACGTGGGTCGATCACATTTCACTAGAACCTGTACTATAATTAATTGGGTTTAGGAAAAATTAAACATTTGATCATATAATTTTAACTCACTTAAAATTCAATTCATAAACTTTAAACTTTGATTAAGTGCAATTTAGTTTCTACAATTTCGACTCAAATAGAATTTAGTCCCTAAATTTTGACCGTGACTTAATCTTTATGATTTTAATTGTTTAATTAAAACATTGATCCCTAATATTTAAGTAACTTTAATGGCAAATTTACCTATATGCTACAAATGGTTAAAAAAAATTACCCAAATCCTATAAAATAAAAAATATTTACTCAAATGCTATATTTAAAGTGGTCGAGGCCAAGAATAATTTAAAGCCATGAAGAAATCAATCTTGGGCTGATGAAGTTTACCTCTTTATTTTCTCTCTCTTCCCATCAAATCACCTACAACACTGACATTATTTCTTTTATTAAGATGAAAAGCTAAATTGTTCATCTCTCTTTCCTGACTCCTATCCTACCTCTTTTTCTCCCCAGCATTTTAATTTTTTGCTCCTATCTCACTCCTAACCCCCACCCCTCATGTTTAGAAAGAAAGAATTGACCAGGAATGAATATAAGAAGATACCAAGATTTAAAATTAAGGATAAACAATATACAAATGTAAAAATCAGAAAATTTTTAAATATAATCATATAAATGGCATACTTTATAATTTTAAATTTATGGTTAATCTTTATATCAAAGCTTAGCATGCTTGTTGCCATTGGGAAAAATATTTTAAACAATTTATGGCGAATCTTTGTATCAAAGTTTAGCATGCTTGTTGCTATTGGGAAAAATATTTTAAACTTCAAAAAAATTACTTTTAGGAGAAGTCGGAAGTATGGGTAGCATGCACCCCACTAGATCCTTTCTTTGCTCATGAGGGAGGCGTGAATTGTATTATTGATGTGAGAACCTTGCAATTAACAGTTAATAATCTGTAAGTATTTCTTGAATCATAAGGCTTTCTTTGATTGTAAAGATTTTATAAGATCCTTCTTTTTTTTTTTTTTTACCCAAATAAAAGTGAACTTATTTTTTATGGTTATTTAGGATGATTTACAAGTTTGTTACTCCTTTTTTGTGTATTTTTCTAATCAAGGCCAATGGAAGGAAGGAGAAATGTCATTGTCTTGTTTAAAAGTGAAACCAATTTAGAACAGTTTTTTTTTTTTTCCTGTTGCCATATTAACATTGAATTTGAAAATCCCAGAAAACAATTATTATCTCCAATGGAAGTTAGCTAGAGAATGCAATGAAATGAGTCATATAGCTAGTAAACAAAAATTAATCATCACTTCTCGTTGTTTTTTCACCAATGGCTTACTTTACCGTCTGAACTTCCCATGTGCATTTTAGTTGAAATGGGCCCATCAAGTGTTATTTGGACAGCCGACTTAATGAAAGATTCTCACCCTAAGATTTCACTTTCCACAAGCCATGTAGACAAGTGAAAGGACAAATAGGCTTAGGTATAGGCCGAGATTTCCAGCATTAGATTTCAATTTGTCTACTACATATATGAAAAGTCCTTGTTAGTAAATTCTAGCCATTTAACCAATGCATTATTAAATGTAGAACACCCTGGCAAACTGTTACTTTTATAATATTAATAATAATAAAACTTGTAACTGCTAAGTAACATTCAAAATGTCTGTATTATTTAAGACTTGATAGCTCAGATACTTAATGCGGAAACATGAGGAAGGACAGAAAATTTAGGCTGCATTCTTTCTTGTGATCCTCAACCTCTTCACGCTTTCTACAAATTCTCTGTGTCAGAAATGACAGAAGAACAAGGAAGTGAAAAGAAAATTATGTTAGAAAAAAGAGTTCAAAGCACAAAATAATCTTAGAATGCAGAATTTGGTTATTCAAACAAGATAGAGGAAAAGGGAAACTTACTTCCATGGGACATCACCTACGGTTCTCCAATGATCTTCTCTGTCTTTGTAGAACAGTAAATATTCTGACTCAGATTGGAACAGTTTCAAACCAGAAACAGATTTGCTTCCTGAATATGAATTGGTACAAGAAGTTAATAAAAACAGTATTAGTAAAGATTAAGAATAGATATCTTCTAGAAAATTTCTACCAAGCCCACTTAAAGAATCTCTCTGACTTTTCTCAGATGAGAATTGCTGGTTATGCTTACCAAACATGTTTTCTAACTGGTTTGCAAGGCTTGGGTAGCCTTCATGATCAAGGACACAGATTTTTCTGCCTACTGTAACACCGTCCATGTTGACCTTAACATAAGCCCACCTATCATTGCTTTGGACACCTTCTATTTCTTCATCAAAGTTTTCTGGAACAGATTTAGAATGCATTGTGCTTGAGCTCTTGAGGTTGAGATTAGGCTGTGGCCAATCCATAAGGTCGTCATCATATCTCCACAAGCTTAAAACTGAATATATTCACAACAGTGTCACATTATTAGTTTCAAACCTTCTTATTCTACTAACCAGCAAATCAATGATAAGTTGATCTAATGTCAGATAAGTAATCATCAGCAAAAGAATGGAAATGAAGATAAAAAAGGGATTTTTAAAAGGCTTACAGTTGCTAGATGAATGATAAGCTTCAGGCTGGACAGTTCTGAGGCTAAGTCCCAGATCAATCATGCCATCTTCATCATCCTCTTTGCCTTGATAGAAATCTGGGTGAAAAGTTGAAGAGTTCAGAAGAAAGCTTGAAGCGTTTGAATCCATGGAGATGTGCAGCACTCCTAATTTCTAAGCTTAGGAATGTCTGACTCTTTCAGAGATGGTGTAATGAGTTGCGTTCATGTAATTCATCTATTTATAGGATCAATTTTGATTATATGTATAACTAAAAATTTAAAAAAGCATATGGAAGACAATGAAGCTTCCCCCCATTATCAATCATTGACTACACAAAGCTTATCTTCTGGTACTGTCAACATGGGACACAAGGTAGAAACAAAACACCTCAACAACATGAAATGGCCATGTTGATCCTAACAAAAGTTGTTCTGGATCCTGCTTCCTCACTTCACTACAAAACCTGAGACTCGTGTTAATATTCCGTAATGCTGACTTGATACATGCAAGTGTATTTTCCCACTTCAACGTTAGTTATGATCTGAAAGTTAATAATCTCAGTATTGAACATTTTGATAAAAGATATTAAGCATCAATTTAGAATCATTACCTCTGACGTTTTCTTTAGACTTGAAATCCTCAAGTTTGTATCTCCTTATTGTTGTGGGATTCAGTGGATTGTGTGTCCAAAAAAGCAAACAGTATCAGAAAATAATTTAAGGGAAGGCATACAGATATAGGGACAGGTCTTTTCTGTGACCATCATATGACTGGAATGCCACTTTTCAAGGGAACAACGACCTCATCTGATCCCCACGACCCATTCCACCTTGCAAGAAATGATATTTTTACTGCTTAAAACTTCATATTCATTCATGTAATTTCTTGTTCCTTGATTAATACATCATGTGTTCAGCTCGGATAACATATACTGTATTCATCTGAGAATCTGAGGTTTTTAAATTACTCTTAGCGTGTCTTTGCATATTGAGCAAGGGATATTAAATAGAATAGTGAGAAGAACGCTCAATAAAGTTATTGGGTAAGACTGTTTTAGTTAAAAATTTATTCAAAAATTTGGTTATTAACAAAGCACATGATATCATGCGATCCATATAGCCGAACCTATTTACTAAAATAAGATTTGTTGTTATTGCTGTATCTCTTTGTATACTTTGCAGGCTATAGAAAGCTTTCTTTGGACATGATGAAGAGATTTTTTTTTTCCCCCCAAATTATCAGTAACCATGAAAAGTATGGATTGGAGGAACGCGTAGGAATTTGGTCAACTTGGGATAATGTACTTGGCAGCGTAACTTGGACGTGAACATCGACATTATAATGATTAAGTCGCATCGTTACTGCGACATAAGCTCAATCTCCATCAACTTTTCTGAGGTGAGATACAGATATCTTTGTTTTCTGCAGATATTTATATTTTAATTCTGGTCTGAATTCTTTCTAAATTGAAACAATGAGAGATCTCTCAAGCGAGTTCAAATAATGCATAACCGACTAGATATTGGACAGAAATGAATGAAAGAAAGCAAGAAGATTTTTTTTTTTTGGGGTTTTTAAGTGATAATATCATAAAATCTAAATATCATGTAGTAACTTTTTTAGTGTCAAATTATCGGAATGGACTTTGACTATTACGAATTGAGTAGGAAAGGATCACAAGGGCGGCACAGTTCTCCCAATGAGTATCATGCGGTAATTATTACGACCTCGGGTACTAAGCATAAGAGTTAGTTAACTAATTTGAATAGATTAAAAAATTATTTAAGTTAGTTATTTGTAATAAATAGATATTGTTTTACCTAAAATACTCTTACTAATCAAGTGTCATTTGATTAAACATTTAACATATTCAACCACAATAAGAACTACCTTAAAAAATAGATAAATATGCGAGACAAGGTGGATTAGAGTATTATATTTAGAACTAAATTAAAGGTCAAATTAGCTTTTATATTAACAATCGGAGGTAGTTAACTAGCTCTTATATGCTATCTCAGTCCTTAATATAAGATTTAGTTGACTAATTTAAGTAGATTAAAAAAGTTTGTTAAGTTATTTATTTGTAATAAATAGATTTTATTTTTCTTAGAATACCCTCACTAATCATATGTATTAGCTAGAACTACTATATAATGAAAAATTTAACATGTACAACAATTATAAAGACTATTTAAAAAAAGAATAAATATGATAAACAAAATGAATTGAGGTTTTATATTTAAGACCAAATTAAATTCCTTTATAAAATAATATTTTGTTTATTCTGTAAATTACATATTATATTTATTACAACAATCATATACTTGTTAAGTACATAAAAGTCAAATCAATGTTTTTGGAATATAACCGATAAGCATAATATGGTAAATCTAATGAAACTGAGCGTTTTATTAAGCTAAAAACTTGTACCAATCTAAAGGTTTAGACAAGTTTTCTTGTTTCCGTGATTGTATTTGCATTGAAACCACTACTACCTCCATTCTTAAATATAAAATTTAGTTTAAACTAGATTTTATATTTAAAGCCGAATATAGCAATATTTTGTGTAGAGGTTGTGACGTCATATCTTTTTAAAGATATTTTTTTAAAGATATTGTAGATGAAACTAGATTATTTATTTCTAGCTAATGACAAGTTGTGATCAGCAATACTGACTGACCTATTTGCTAAACACTCTTTTAGTCTTTTATAATTAAAAGGAATTACTGCGTTTTTTTTCCCCAATCAAATTCCATCTTTTAATATTACAGATGGAAAGTGCTGAAGAAAGCTTGTCCACTTTTGTACTGTTTTTGTCGTTCCCTCTTACTAGGGAATGTAGTCTTTTCACTAAAAAAATAAAACGAGGGGGAAAAAATCAAAAGAAATAAAGCTTACTTTCATCATACTCCTCCGTTCCTAATTATAAGACCCAATTAACTTATTTGAGGAGATTAAGGAAGTAAGTTAAGTTGGTTATTTATAATAAATAAGTGTTGTCATTCCTAAAATATCCTTACTAATTAAGTATATTGGCTAAAACTATCATTATTAGAAGGATTATCTTGGAAAAAAATGCATAAATATAAGAGATAAAATGGATTGGGTCTTATAATTAGGACCAAATAAAAAGTCAAATTGGGTCTTATAATAAGGACCGGAGGAGTATATGGCAAGGGGCCTTCCATCATGACAGCTAAGGAAATGTTATTTTCATTGAAAATCACGATGTCTAAGAATGAAAATAACCCTACTCTTTGTAATTTAAAATTAATTATCTCTCTTTTTTTCAAATGGTATTTCTGTCATTCATTTGTTTGTTTTTCTTCAATTTTTTGTGTTTAAACATACATATTCTTTTCATCCATACCAAATATGTAAATTGGGTTCATAAAAGGCTTATTTTCTTTTTTTAATTCTTATTTCCGTAACTTTCTTATTTCTTTTTATTTTTCTTTTAGTGAGACATAACTTTCTCATTTCATTTAGAAACTTTCCCCACGCCAAATGTGTCCTAAGAGTAGCGCTAAAAGTAGATAGGCCAGCTTGGGGTATATAGGCTAACCCATTCTTGTGTGGCTCCCAACCCAAAGTAAATTGTGTAGGTTAGCAAGTTGTACGAGACACCCTGTCAACTCAATATTTTTTTCCTCATAAATTTTAATAATTCTTAAAACTTAATTCTAATTAACTTATGATATAATCCACTTTAAACCTACATATTACATAATCCACAATCATATAATCTAATCTTAATTTTTCTTAGAAACACTTAATAGGCTTCAACATACTTCTTTTGTGTTTAGGTAGTTTAAAATGTGAAAAGAAGGGGGACAAATATAGGTTATACAATTCAACCTATAAATTAAAATGAGTTAGTCTGTTTAATTTATGAGTTAGATGGTCCCAACTTAAAAAAGGTCAATTTTTATTTGGATTGATTTTTTTTCTCTCAAAACCTAATTCAAGTCAACAAAGTCGACTTAGGGGGTATTTAGATAGAAACCAAAATGTGATTTTAAAAGTGCTTTTACGGTTTACGAAATAAATATATAGAGGTGTTTGTCTCTTTTTATAAAAAAGTACTTCTGAGAAATACTTTTGGTGGTTGCCAAACACCTTTTTAAATTCTCATTTCACAGCTCTAATAACCAACTTGGCAAGATGGTGCTTTTTCACAACTAAAAAGCCCATTTTTTATTAGTGTAAAAAAAACCCCAATAGTGAGTGATCAATGTAAAGGTTTCCTTTTGATTTTATTTTGGGCTCAAGAGCCCATTTTCCTTAATTTTGACCCAATTCTCTTCTTCCTCCACGTCCCGGCGCTCCTCTGGCCTGAGGAGTACGTTCTTTGCCGCCTTGTCAACCACCACTGTCTCAAACTGAACCCTTTTGTGTCACCATGTCAAGTACTGGGGGCGGAGGAGTTGAAGTGAAGAGAGTGTTTATAGGAGCAGGATGCAACAGAATAGTGAACAACGTTTCATGGGGTGCTTGTGGCTTGGTCTCCTTCGGTGCTCAGAACGCCGTCGCTATATACTGCCCCAAGGTCCCCTTCGGTTTCTTAAATTCACTAAGTTCTTATTTTGGGTGACTATTTTGTCTTAAGCATCTGATTTGGAGTCCCTTTCTTTTTTCTTCTACTGGGTTTTGACAGAGTGCTCAAATTCTGACTACTCTTCCGGGTCACAGAGCATCTGTAAATTGCACCCACTGGCTTCCAAGCAGCAAGTTTGCATTTAGAGGTAGCCTCTTGTGCTTTCTGAGATTTACTAGAAATCCTTAATGCATTTTTTACATGATTCCATGCGAATTTCTTCAGTTGTACTTGGTATAGTCAATTTAGCATAACGATAAGGTGGGTTATAAATTAATGGAGAAATGATCAGAAAAATATTTTCACAGAGAGAGACAGAGAGATGTTTGGAGGAGAAAATATTTAAATCATCATCCTTCATCTCCCTCTGCCAAGCTGATTCTTCAAAACCAATTTCGTGTGCTTTGGCTTAGAAGTTTGAGTTTATTTGATATCGTTATTGCAGTAGAGAGCAAAGACCAAAAGCACAATTTACTGCATTAATCCAACGAATGTGTACAGGTCCACAGTGAATTACACAACTGGCATGCACGGTGGAATAAAAAAATTT